GAGATGGGGGATTTAAACGCTTGACATCTGGCAACCCCAAGCATGAAAGTTTGTGGAAGCTAGAAGATAACAGAAATGTCAAATAATGGAAATGAAACATTGCAGATGATTTTAATCGTACTTAATCATGCTCCAAATACATAGCGCTGTGGTGCTCATCTGGGAGACGTAGGTTCAAATCCGGTCTGCCCTATGTCTGTCTGAGCAGGATGAAATGCTGATCTATGAAGTCATTTATGTGATGGAGCCAAGAATTAATGTCCTTTAACTGTTGTGTTCGAGTGTCTAGCTCATGTCAATTAGAAAAGGTACAACACTCACTCTTGAAGAAATCCAACATTATTGGTTAAAATACATGTGGTTTTTCGGTCATTATCCAGGCTCATAGAGTCGCCAGGATTGATCAGGTTGTAAATTCTGCTGACATGTTCCTGATGTCTCATGAGATGTGTGTTTGCCATCTGCCTACAACTGTCTGCCACACACAGAGACACTCACACACTTCACAAACTGTAAGCGGATTCTGATTGTTGTCCTTGGCATGGCAGCCAAGTCTGTGTGTGTGTGTGTGTGTGTGTGTTACGCTGTGGTCAGTACATTAAACTTCACACAACAGTATGTGTGTGTGTGTGTGTGTGTGTGTGTGTGTGCGCGTGCGTGTGTGTGTGTGTTAATATGCTTAAAGGGGCAAGTAATGAGAAATCAAATTTTCCTTGATCTAATTTTGCTTGAAAAGAGCTTGATGTATTATAGCTTTCAGCACTCAAAACTTCCTCCTCAGTCCAAAAAGAGCAGTTATTGAAATGAAACTACAAAGATGGCTTTTTCTGAAAGATAGATAGATTAATTTACACATGATTATCCACATTTAAATTTCAGTGTTGTTAGTGTTAACTATAACTAAAACTATTAAAATTGTTTTGTGTAATTGAAATAAAGCTGAAATAAAATATAAATGTTACATTGATGGAAATGTTGCTTTGGCAACGAACCGAGGCTAATTTGAAGTACTAAAATTAGTAAAATATAAAAAAAAAAACTAAGCTAAAACAAAACAAAAATTTTAACTGACCGACTAAATTGATTTAAAACTAATGAATGAAACTTTTGAATGAAAGATCATTCAAAGATCATTCTGCCTTTGCTCATATTTACCAAGGGTGCCAATTAGGGTTGGGTACCGTTCACATTTTAACCGGTACGGTAGCGGTACCTGAATTTCGGTACTTTACTCTGTGTAATTACAAAAACATTTATTTCAGTGAAATAATAAGTCCAAAATAGGGCCCACAATAGGGCCCTACAAACTTTTTCTTTCTTTCTTTTTTTTCTTTTTTTTCCCAGAAATTCTTGTTTTAATTTTTCTGAAAATCAAATGAAGGCATTAAACATTTCAAATGAAAATTAAACTTTTATTTTTTGGCAAACAAACTGAGGTTTACTGTTGAAATTAATACATGGAAGAAAAATTGTGTGAATATTCCTTTAAAACATTTTTTAATAGGCTAATAATTGCCTTTTTTCTTCAATTAAGTGATTAATCTGGTTGTAATATTAATTTTTATCATTTAATTGTTTTCTTTAAATTTGATAGAAAATGGAATATTTAAAGATGTACATTATACTGTACAAAAGTAATACAAGAGTAATATATTTCTGTTACATGTTAAACCGTACTTTTATTTTGACAGGTTGCCATGAAGTTTCTGTGTGTATACAGTATGATGATGCTAGTTTTCTCAAATGAAACGCTAAAATTCTCGCGAAGTGACTCTCACAGCAGCTCGGGATTACGTTATTGTGTTCATGCCGTCATATAGTGAGACGCAGAGGCCGAAAATCACTGTGATTCGGCCCGTAGGTAATCACAGCATGCCGATATACAGCCAGATCTCACGGCTACTTGTCATATTGTGTTTATACAACAGTTCGATGGCACAAGTGTGTAAATACATAAGAAACAACAATGGAGTGTCTTTAAAAACCCTCTTTTGTGCAGAGGGTTTCAAAAATTCCCCTGGATTCAAATCTCAGTTTGACAGTTTAACAGCTGAGCTCAAGCCTCCATTACTAATTTGAAAACGCTACTTTACAACTAACAAATAGTTCATATCGCGATTCGAATTAAGTGGCAGTGGCTACTTTTCATTTATTCGTCAAAAATTGACGAATTCCGTGGCATTCTATAGAGTAAATTACGTTTTTATGAATGGACTCCGCGATCCCATTCGCGTTTTCACAGAAACCATATGAGCTGAGCTCAAGCCTCCATTACTAATTTGAAAACGTCACTTTAGAAATAGTAACGAAGGAACGTTGAGTTGCTTCATTGAAAGCTTATGGTATTACTGTATTAAAAGCTCACTGTATTATGAGAGAGAGATGGACTGAGCGAGTGTGACTGATACAGCATTCAGCTCAACCTCATATTTACCGATATCACTAGAATATTGCACTCCTCTCAGCCAATCAGATGCGAGAACCAGAAAGAACTGGTGTGTGTGTGTATATATACTGTGTGTGTATATATATATATATATATATATATATATATATGGGTGGATGGATACCATTTTTCCTAAGGAACTGATAAGAGTAAAATGTAGCGAAAGTCATCTAACACTACCTTAAAGTTAATATAAAAACACTAATAATTGAATAACACGGGTTAAATGTAATATTTAGCAAATGTCAAAATTAATAAATATAAATGTCAAAATCCTGCTCTATGGTCGGTACCCTTAAAAGTACCGAGTTCGGTACCCAACCCTAGTGCCAATATTAGTGGAGGCCACTATACTGTATATATATATACAGTATATACAGTGGGTACGGAAAGTATTCAGACCCCCTTAAATTTTTCACTCTTTGTTATATTGTGTGTATATATACTGTGTGTGTATATATATATATATATATATATATATATATGGGTGGATGGATACCATTTTTCCTAAGGAACTGATAAGAGTAAAATGTAGCGAAAGTCATCTAACACTACCTTAAAGTTAATATAAAAACACTAATAATTGAATAACACGGGTTAAATGTAATATTTAGCAAATGTCAAAATTAATAAATATAAATGTCAAAATCCTGCTCTATATATAATGCATCCATTTGCTTGTAGCATATAAAACAATTGATCTTTAGTTTGTAGTTATTCATTGATTTATTTTGGTAGTTTGTCTAAACAATGTGGAATAGAATTTTAATATTGGTCATTTATCAGTGTCCAGCCATAATGTGTAAATATTCGCTAATTAATATTGGTTTATTGGTATTGGACAGAATTGCAAAGAGTTATACACACTATATCAATATAATGTGTATGGCTTTTTAATGGTGGTAGTTGTTAGTGTTTTGCCCATGGTGGATGTTATTTGAATAAAATAATTATTTAAATTAGTAAGTCGAAAGAAAACTGCAGGGGAAATTAACTTTCTATATATATCTCATCTCCAGGCAAATGGACAGATGGTTTAGAGAGATACTCGCTGATAGGGGTGGGCGGTATGACCAAAATACAGTTTCACGGTATGACTAATTTTGTTTCACGGTAATGGTATATTTCACGATATAGTTATTTATATATGTAGTTATTCTGAAAATCGACAAAAGGGCTTTATTTAATAAATAAACTCTTAAATAAAATAAAATAAAAATAATATTTTATTTATTATTTTTATTTTGTTTTATTTAAGAGTTTATTAATTAAATACAAAAATAATATTTAAAATAAATAATATTTATATAAATAATAAATAAAAAAATTATAAATCAAATACTTTAGAAATGAAAAGTACTTCACCTTGTTTGATTTTTTTTTTGTTTTTTCCTTTTATTTGGTAAATTCTTTATTTAGTAAAAACACACTGAACTTTTAGATTAACTGCCCCCAACTGACTGATATTAAATGCAACTTGTAGGTGCAATTAAACTTTAAATAAGGTGTTTCTAAATAATTTTTAAATTTCATGTTATTGTTTTACTTCAATCAGTTTATAATATCTAAATATTTTATATTGAAATATTCTATTCATAATAAATTACATTTACTTCCTTTTCATTTTGTAGGATATTATTAATACATTATATTGTTTAAATTTGTGCCCAGGTACAGTTTTGCCATGTATATTTATTATACTGCGTTTTGAAGGGGCTTGTTTTGCTCTTTTTGTGATAACTGGCAACCCTTCACTTGGAGCTTTAATCAAGAGAGGGAAGATTTCTGTAGTAACTAGAAGGAAATCCTGGATGTGTCGCTTAGCTTTTGACACCTACAAGCTGAAGATCGTGTGTGTAATGATCTCTCTACCCCATTCCCCTCACACAGGCTCTGAAAAGGAGATAAAAACTTAAAGCCTATTATTGGTTTGATTGGTCCACTGGTGTTTTTTTCCACTAGACTCGTCAGTGGAGTGGACGCAGTTAATCTTATCAGCCAGACAGCTTCTGTGCGCCACTGGAGTTCAGTCAATGCCACAATCAAAAGACTAAAGCATTTGTTTTTAGGAGACTTGGAACTGCTGAATGATGAATTTGACAGAGTAAAAGGCGGCCAAAATACAGGGTTTGTACTCATGTCATCACCTTTTGTTAGCGTGTGTTCAGTGTGTTCATCTCTCTGAGCTGTGCTGCTGATGTCCATGGAGTACTAGCCTTGGCACACACATCCATGCCTTTTTGTGGTCTTGAGAGACTGCTTTTAAAGAAGGTCTCCTGTGTGTGTTCAACCGGTGAGTGAGACGAATACAAAACGTCTCTGTTGGAGACAGACACAAAGCCATGCGATCACTCAACTCCTTTAGATTATGGTTTGTTTGGGGAAGAACCTTGCATCAGTTTCATAAATGGGTGCGGGCAATCATGTACTCTGTGTGATCTGGCTGTCAAAGGGTCTGTCATGAGAGGAAATGGAGGTCTGTTTCCTGCACTGCCGCCCCTCCCTTATGACCCACTGATCTGTTTTTCCAGGCGCTGGTTGGAGAGAGTGAAAGATGGGAGGAAGGTGATGATGTCAAAACAATCGTGCTTCACTTCTGTTTTACTCACTTCATAATTCATAAACGTAAGGCCTTTAAGTGCCGCATAAACTTGAAAGACTTTGTTGTAACAGAGTTTATTGCCAGTCGAATGGCTCTTGGCTTGGAGTAGCGCGGGCCCTTTGGACCGGGGCCCAGATGACATTCTCCATCCATAAACTCCGGCTTTAATTGGCGATACTCAGCTGCCCTTTTGTGTGGGTGACTTCGAGTTACAGCAGGAGATATCGAACGAATATTTCCATAAAATTGATAGTAGTCAAGTCAAGATTAAGCGCGGTTTGTTGTCAAAGAGACCTCGCCAGAGTGATCTTTGTCTGGAGCGGTACAGTGCTGGCAGAAGACGAGAGAAGTTCTTGTGTCTGTTTGTGCTCATGTGGCACTCTGTCCTCTCTCTGAATTGTCATGTGATTGGACGGCCATCCTTGCATTTTTCTGTCTTTCAGATCCTGTTTTCATCTCGCATGTGGCTGGTTGATCGTACCCTTGCCCTCTTCAATTTCCTGAAAACAAAGCCCAGGAATGTTGGGTGGGCATCCAAATATGCACAGATATATGTTTATCTTGGCCTTGCACTGAAGTGCATCTACCATAAAGTGATATGGAAGCTTCCACCCAAAAATGAAAACACCGTCATCATTCCAAACCTGTACGACTTTATTTTTCTGTACACAAAAGATGTTTTGTAGAATGTCTTGACACTTTCTATCATTACAATGTACGTCAGTGGTCACTAAAACAGTTTGGTTACCAATATATTCTTCAAAATCTCATCTTTTGTACCGCATGTTTGTAAAAATAAACAAATAAATGGTCTTTACCTTAATACACAACAATGGAATTCTATGGGCTGACCTCTTTCAGAGCATTTGAATGCAGAAAAATGAAAGGGATGGTTCACCCAAAAATCAACACTCACCCTCGTGTTGTTCGAAGCCCGTTAGACCTTCGTTCATCTTCGGAACACAAATTAAGATATTTTTGATGTCTTGCGCAAAGAAAACAAAAATAACGACTTTATTCCACATTTTCGTCTCCACTGCGTCACTTGTGAACGCGCGTTCACGACAGTATGCGTGTGGCGTGTGGCTGTGTGGTGGCGCTGACCCAGATCCGGCGTATATAAAACCCAAAACACTTAATTGTAATAATATTTCACAGTATTACTGTTTTTTCTGTATTTTTTATAAAATAAATGCCACCTTGGTGAAAACTTCTTTCAAAAACATTTTAAAAATCTTACCGACCCCAAACATTTGAGCAGTAGTGTATGTAATATGTAAACACATAAGTAAATATGTAATTTATATGCAGGTTTTCTGAAAGTAAACCTAACTTTGTTACATTTTACATCCCTTCCTGATATACTAGATATGATATACTGTTTGAAAGTTAATGGTTTTCTGGCTTTGCATAGTTATGGCAGGAGTTGAACTTTGCATAGACATGACTTGAAGGAAATGTTACAAC